TGGGAGAAAAAGGGGCAAAAACCTGACGGGGTTTCAGCCATTCACTTACCCTCCATACCTTCAGGTGGAACTCGCCTTTAAAAAGGGAGGATCATGGGCATATTGGACTTGAGTTGGACAGCAAAGAATACACAGCAAATGCGTACAGCAGACCATGTGACTGTTTACCGTGACATTTTACTGGTTTTTGTTTTTTTCTCCCTACCAATAGCTGTAGACTGAGCGCCGGACAATGCCTAAAACACGAGTGGCTGATAAATCTGCCCCTAAAAGCCAAGAAATACAAAGTTCGCTTGAAGTCTCAGGTCATGCTTCAAAAATACTTGGCCCAGAAGAAATGGAAAGTAAGTCTTCAATATCTCTAAAGTATCAGCCTGTCTAGTACAGGAACCTCGCGCTATTGTCCATACACATGACGGTCAACCAGTCCCGTGGATATAATGGTCGGGTTGGGTATTAGTTGTACAGCTATGGCCACACTGTAATCTCAGCAGGCAGCAGAGGAATTTGGATGAGGGTGAAATGTGTTGTTTAGAAGGAATCTTCATGGATAATATGGCTGGTGTGAAGGGTGTTTGCACAATTGTGAGCTTACCAGTTTGGTTGCAATGATCCCAGATGTTTATTGAAGATCTTTTGGTGCTCAGACTTCTAACCACCATATAGCCAAAGGTTTGTAGGCAGCTGACCATCCACCTTACCACACCTACTAACATGGCCAACCGTCTGTGGCCCCTCTCCAAATGATCAAGTTTAGGTGTTTCCAGCAGAGGCTATTGTTAATGCCAGAGCATACAAAGACATATTAGACAATTGTGAGCTTCCAGCCTTATGGCAACAGTTTGGTGAAGGCCTTGTTCTGGCATGACTGTACTCCTGTTCACAAAGCCATCTCCATAAAGACCTGGCTTGAGGAGTTTGATAAGGAGGAGCTTGAGTGTCCTGATCAGAACCCTGACCTCAACCTTACTGAACACCTTCGGGATGAATTGGAGCCCCAAATGTGAGCCAGGTCTTCTCATCCAACATGACAAACTCACAAACGAGCACACATTCCCACAAGCGCATTTGAAGAGTGTAGGCAGCCGCAAAGAGGAGGGGGACGACGACCCCATATTAATGGCTATGGTTTTGGAATGGGATGCCCAACATACTCGTATAGATGTGATGCTCATGCATCTACAAACACACTTTTATCCATAGTATAAATATATATATTTCCTAACCAATTCTTGGGTATTAGCCACATCCCTATCATTCAACTGTCAGGTGCCAGCACCTCCAGTACCCAGGGAGTACTGGCATAGGGCAGTTTAATGACAGATCAGAGGACCTAGCGCAGGGATTAAACTAGACTTTCATTTGAAGACTAAATGGAGGCCCCAATGAGAAGACTAACAGGGCTATTCACAAAAGGGTGAAGAGTTTGGAGAAGGCCGGAGAAGTGAACAATCTAGGACAACAGAGCTGAACTGGAAAATGAGCCGAATTGGAGAATTTTTCCAAATCAGCTATTCAGGCCTAGATTGTTCACTTCTCTGCACTGCCTTCTCCAGACTCTTCACCCTTCTGTGAATAACCCTGTAAGTGGAGCCCCCCAGTTGGATCAGTTTGAAGACTAATAATTGCAAGCACAACCAGGTACCTGCCTTTGACCACTGTTGTCCCTTTTAGGCCAGGTTAGCGTAACATTGAAAACTATTGCAAGAGCACACCCACATTTTGGTGGTGGATGGGTGGCACTAAAGCCAGAACTGTGCCAGGGATATCTCAACAGCAGATTCTTGAACCGATATAAGACAATGTGTTACCCAGCCCACCAGATTCCACCATACTTTTTGGGTGGACTGACCCACATTAGATAAGTCAACCAATGTCGAGATGCATTTTGTTCATCTTCACGCAATACTTCTCACAATATTAAACGTTATCACCATCTTCCTCTGCAGAAACATTTCTACGTGGTCACGGCTGCCAATCGCCTCAGGAAGTTCCAGCTGCTTTCACCCAAACCTTCCTAGAACGAGGCCGAACGCCACTTGTGTGCGGATTATACAGAACAGCCGCCTGGCAACACAGTAACACTAAGGACG